CAATAACATGCAATCCACCCACGGCCCACTGGCCACGACCCGCACCTCAACAACCCTCCAACAACTTGCCGCACTGTGGCATAGCGAAGGGAACCCCATCCAGTAGTGGTGACCTTCACTTTCATCTTAGATCAGAGGCCTACGTCTATAACTGCTGAACTTTGACCTTCTCTTCTGTTCTGAACTTCTGAACTTGAACCATGACGTGTTTCGCCTTAACTGGTCAATCACCCGCCTCACCGCGGGCCAAGCATGTGCTCTCGCAGAACACCCCTTCTGTCAGCGCAGCGAAGTCCACACCGCTTGCCTCGGAAATCAGGAACAATAAAACTAACGTGCGAGCTGGGAACTGGAACAGCACTAGCTGATCACACGATCACCCTCAGCCCTGGCCCCCTGTTCTCTCCATCTACCTACACATCCCCTCCAGCCGCTGGTCAACTTGCTACCTGAACTGTTACTCCAGCCAGCTCTCAACCAAGGCAACGCAGCAATCCAACATCAGTCAGCGCCAAAATTAGTCGAAAAATGTATTACGGTGTATTCATTGCGACGTTAGTCCCGGATCGCTGTTCAATATGTTTCTCAGGATTTCTCAGGTTGTATTTTTTTTGGGCCGGCATCGCTTTTGGACACCCGTCCGACCCGGGTATCGTTGTTCGAGAGTTGAGAGGCACCAAAAGAACACATGCACATGAAATCTCACTGGGAATTCGAGTCCGAGTCCAAGTTGCAGCGGGGATCCTGGACTCAGTGCCAAAGTCTGATAAGAATGAAATAACCCGTAGGGAAGCGACCTTCAATGAGTCAGACCCAACTTGTAGGCGAAGTTGATGAAGAAGCGCCCCGAGTTTGAACGGAAGGCTCGTGCATCCGGATCCCAGGCCGCATGGCCTTAAAAAGCACAGGGATGGTGAGGTGGTGGCCAGTGGCGGGTGAAAGTGATGGGGCCGAAAATTCAATACAAGGGTGTCAAGGACCAAGGCGGCCAAGGGCCAAGGGCAAATGCGGCAAAGGAAGCGCTTCTCACCTCACCCCATCCCGAAGATGCTTACTCAACTGATGAACCAATGTATCCGTGATCCACAGCAGAGTCAATGAATCGCTGGAACAACGAATCAAACCACGGATCCGGGAATCTATGCGCCGCGCAGCGAACCAATGCATCGAGCGAACAAATATAGACAAGAACATATATTATCTCATAACTTAACTTAACATAACGTCCTAACTCATAACACCATGAACTCGAGTCCATGAGTCCATGAGTCCATGAGTCCAGGAGTCCAGGAGTGCAGGAATACGGAGTCAAGGAACCTAATTGCCTCAAATTTGCCAATGAACCTATCAATAGCATCCAAGAAAATCAAACGGGACGCGTCCCATTAAGAGTCAAGAGAAATGCTAACTCAACACACATTGACCCCAAAACTCCAGAACTAGCCTCTGCTGGGCTGCTGGGCTGTTCAAAATGGAGGGTTGGCTGAGTTGGCTGGCTGGCCAATCTAAATCCATAGCCCATGAGAAAACCGGGAACCAGGGAAAGGAACTTTGAGAGGGTGCCCAGTGCCGGGTGACGTCTCCCAACGCTCACACTCACGACCACTCAAAGACTCAAAACGCCCCTTTCTGGAAAGAACCCCACCACACCACACACCACAATGCTCACAGAAAGCGACCCTTTCTCTTCCGTTTAAACCAACCCCAAAAAAGGCGATAACCAGGAATAGCGAATGACACATTCACCAGCCACTAAACCAACCATGGCACTGCACTGCACTGAGGTGCAGTCAAACTCGATTTTGGGAGGAACGGATTGGCCGGACTCCGGGCTAGACTTGACTTGACTGGAGATTGGATGTCCGGCATGTCAGGGCAGCGCGACCCTAGACAACAACCTCGAACAATGACCGTGAACTGTCACGCCGCCCGCCGGCCAATTCCCCACCTAAGCTGATGACGTGCACCGCCAGCAGTCAACGCAGTCGGCGACCGACTCCAGGAGCGCCGAGCCCAGCATGGCCTCATTGCTCTCCATGCACTTGCGCACGTACTCCGTGACGGACGTGACACAGTTCCTCATGCTGGCGGGGGCCTGGTGTGCGCCCTTCTTTGTACGAGTAAACGCTGATTGGATAGTGATGACTCAGCAGCTTTTTGAGTCATTTGGCACTTGGCACCAAAACAACATGAGGTTGAGTTGAGCTGAGCTTGCTTAAAACAAGCATGGTCAGACTCAGACAGACCTACACAACATAATGTCCAGCGCAGCAGGATGCGACAGGCGTGGCGTGAGTGGCATGAAGCACTTGACGCAGGAGCCAGGAGCCCTTTTAGAGTTTAACAACGGAAGCCAAGCTACTTTTCGAGGGAAATCTTCTCCATCTGTGTCAGCTGGTAGTCCTGCCCCGCCTGGGGGCTTGCGTCCGTCACCAAGCTCAAGAAATGTTGGCGCCATCCAGCTTGTGATAGATGACGTTGCCTCATCCTTGCAAGCTGACAAATGTGAGCACTAATCAAGAGCCGGCAGCCCGCCGGGCAGCACATCACTTCCACAGCCACTCCACTACAGTTCATTCCACACCCCATAATAATTCAATGGGGCCTCCTGGGGGCCTCCTCCTCCTCCCCGGTCATGTCCTAACCCTAACCGGGCCCTAACCCGAGGTTTTTTGCAGGAAATTCAGGGGTGGAAATCGGTAGCCGGCCCGCTGTGGCAGTGGCAACCCTTCAAGACTAAGCCTGCTGCAGGCACATGACAATGTCAATCTTGAGGAGTGATCGGGACAAGGTCGAAGCGTGGGGAACCTGCTGCAAGTCCTGCAGGAGGCGAAGGTAAGTCGTGTCGTCAAACACCTGGGCTGGGCAGAATGGACAAGGGAAGGGCCAACTGGTTCGTTGCCTTCATTGCCCTTCCCAACAATCACAACTGCCGGCCAGCCATCAGCCAACAGGTCGCACTTATTCCGGTTGGTTGATGACTGGCTTCGGAGAAAATAAGTTTTAAGCAAACAGCAAAACCAACTAACCATAACCATATAAGACTGTTTCTTTCAATTTAGCGATGCCGGTTGTGTTTCGGCAAGATTCCAACGCCAGCGCGTGCTTTACAGCTTTCTGCAGGTTACCAGCGTTCCGCAGCATGAGTGAGAAGCCTGGGTTGATTGAATGCGCAAATCAAAATGCAGCGCTCCCCACCCTTCCCTGCGTCCCAGCAACAAACAGCACGGATCAGCCCCATCAAGCTGTATCCTCTCCCGCCCATGGTGCGGGAAACCAGCAGTTTGCGACTCTGTGGCTTATTGGCTGATGCGATAGCCTCAATGAGCTGGTCAGCCTCCGCAGCCTTGTCCTCGGGTTCCGTGCAAAGACTGCAATAGGGCAGAATGGGGCCCAACGGGGCGAAGGTTTGAGTTGCAAGCAAGTTTTTGGTGCTCGCGCTATCACTAGAAACAACAAACATGCATTGACACCACCGCCGCCACTGCGCTATTTTTGTGCGGGCGAGCGGCTGCAGGCAAATGTGGACGCACCAGTGCCCGCAGCCTAAACAAACAAATGCATGATGCCATGCAACGCTATGTACATGTATGTAGTTTAGTAGTGTAGTATAATATCAAACTCAACTGAACCGGCCTGGCCAATTTAACCAGTGGCAATTTGCAATGACAACAAATCCAATCCAATGTTACCAGGGCGCTTGTGAATGTCGCCATGCGCTGCGTCTCCCAGAAACGCAACAGACGCCATTGGGCCATGGATGCCCACAGCTGCTTCTAAGAGCCGGAGCCCAAATAGCTCTGCGGCGCCCGTTGGCAAAGCCAGCAGTTAACAAGGTCCACGCGCTAATTCGGGAACCCTCGCTCAAATTTCAAACCATTTAAATTGAATCCCATGGCATCCATACATTGCACATGTGCACTCATTGAGCAATCCCTTCTCATCCCCCCCCCCCACAAAAAGAGCAGTTTAACCACTTGGATCAAGGCGGATCAAGCGAGTTTTATTTTTTACAAAACATCCTGGGTGTTCTGCGGTGTTCTCATGCCAACAATCCTGCTTCGGGTGGATGGAAAAACTCAGCCCCTTAGGCCCAAAACCTCACGCAATTTAGCATGACTTTGGGCAGCAAAGTAGTCGACCGTTCGTGCAAAGGAGTCGACCGTTCGAGGGAAAAGAGGGAAAGCTGTCGCTGCCGATTTCTAGGTCTTTTTCCCCTGTGGACGGCTGCGAAAAGGCCAGGGGTGTCGAAAGTGTGGCTTCCGAGAGATCTCATCATTGTTCTATGCGAAAAGCTTCATGGCTGGTTGCAACTTGGTGTTCCTTTAAACAAGCCCAAAAAGGGTACGTGAGGGGTGAGTTTTGTTTGGGAACTCCCTTTGGTTTGGTTTCAAAGGAACCCCAAAAAGAAAACAGTCTGTTTTGTTTGGGTGGGGTTGGGGGTTGTGGTCCCGGATTCTGCGTGACAAACTCACATATGTGCCAAGGTCAACACATGTTGCGGTGCGTCCGGGTCATGATTCCCTCAACAGGAACGCTTTTGTCCAAACCTCCTAGATTGATTGGGGAAACGCTACACATGGTCTAATAGGTGTGGTCTAGGATTATGCGAAATTCGGCAAGATTCGGCGAGATGCGTCGGTGCTGCGTCCGTGCTGCGTCCTACGTCATGCTTCGCAGCTCCAGGCGAGAACTTCTCAAATTAGCGGACCCGTTTTGGTTGGCAAATGATGGACACTCAGATTTCTTGGGGTACCCTACTTGGAAAAACACCAAGAAAAGGAAGCCTTGTTTTGATTTCCATTGGCTTAATCCCCCGGGAACAACTAAACATATTTCCAGTAGTGATCGATTCCTTTTCAAAAACCAACAAGGGAAAACAGAATATTCAACCAACAGGGGAAAATGGACAATTCTTCATTTCAGCACACGGAAGTTGACCACGATGTGGTTCCGATGGGGAAACCGCGGCGGAGTCGGGGAATCCCCCGGGAGCCCCTGCTGTGTCCACCGGCATCTCCGGCGCTTCGGTCTCGGCCAGGCGCCCGTTCACCTGACGGTCCCAGTCACTTGGCCGAAGCGAGTGCGTGGAAGGAAACAACATCTAGGTCCTCCAGTAGAGAGTTGGAATAAGGGTACCCGATTTGTTGTTGTTGTTTTTTGGTTTGAATGTAGTCTATTCGGGGAAGCCTCCCCCAAGAAAGGGGAGAGAAGGGCACTACTGGGGGACCTAGACATGGCTGCTGGGAAGCGCAAAGAATCCGTTCAGTTTTCAGTTTTCCACAGACATTTGGGCCCCTGGAAAAGGGGAAAGAAAAAAAACCGAAGCAAATGTTCTGCCCAAGCGAGGATTGAAGATCTAACCGGCAGCAAGCCTAGGACTGATTGACTGCCCCATCTTGACGAATTAGACTTCACCTTGAAAAGATGGGGACCCTCTCCTCTTGGTTGACGTTGAAAGGGGAGCAACAATTTGATTTCTAGCAGTTAAGTGGGGATTTCCCACTAAACCACAATAAGCAAAAATGAAAAATGTTGCCCAACAACAACCATGTCCTCGAAGGATGGTTCATCACATCGCAAGGTCTTTCAAGGTCGCAAGGCCCCCCAAGGTCGTGCATACTTTGCCGAGCTCAATGGCTTGAAGGGAAAGAAACCAAATGCCCCTCAGCCAACTGGAACTTTAAGATCCGAACCCTGCCCACTCAGCAAACCACCCTGGGCCTTGTCAAAGGCTTACTTTTGGGAAAGAGGGGATGGAGGCTAAGGACAGAGAGGGTGGCGGGATCCATGATTTCAATGGTTTGACGAGGAAGCTAAAAGGAAAAGCCCCCCCCCCAAAAAAAAAGAAGAGGGCTGTCCCCTCTTGCGACTACGAACGAAAGAGTTCTTCCGAATGCCAAAGTTTGAAACCAGCTGGAATTGTTGCAAGCAAACGAAACACAAAGCATGGGAATTCACCACAAAACCATGAAACATCACCACAAACCAAACTGAGTTCACCCTTGTTTCTTACATCCAGTACTCGAATCCCCTGGACTCCTTGCCTTTTAAATTGTTTGCTTGTCCAACTGAAGCCCTTGTTTGATCGGGCTTGGAAAACTCATGGAACTTGAAAGAACCTCCTCTTGGGAGCCTTTGACGTTTTAGGGCTTTCTCCATAGGTGAATTCTGCGTAACAAGCCGGCTATGGGACCGAGTCCCATAAAAGGGAGCTTCGTTGATGCACGCCCCTATGAGGTCGCTTGCCTTCTTGTGATAAACCGCTGCCGCACCGATGTTTCGGCTGACATTCCAAAGTCCAGGTCATGCGACACGACTTCCCAACGAATCGAATTCAATTTGCGATTCGCAACGATGCCATGGCCCCTAGTCCTTGGCTCCCGGATCTCCAGTTCCATGTGACAATCAAGCAAGCTCGCTCCCACGCACAAGAGCTGCCC